AGAAATAAAACCCTAATTATATAATTTAATTAGAAGAATACTCCGTTACAAATTATGTGTATCAGTGTATGTTTACGAAATTAACATGAATGAAAAATAATATTCATTATGTATCAAAATAAAAATAAAAAAAAACTATTCATCTTCATCGTGGTCTTGAAGTTGGTATCCGAGCGGAAAAAAAGTGAATAAGAAAAAAAAAAGGAAAAATTGTGAGAAAAAGGGATATATTATGACAACAAATCAACACATGACATTATTCATAATAATCCTCTACAACATGATAGTATGTCGAGGTGGACAGATTTTTTATCAAGCAAAATATGATGAAAAAAATGTAACAAAAAAAGTTAATTTGATAATATGCTTAAAAAAAAAAATTATTTGATAAGTCAAAATATTATAAAAATATTGGTTTAAACCTATTTGGCAATCTAAAATATTAACTCCAAGTTTAATAAATCCATATTTAGTTGGTTATTAAATATTGCCGGGAAAGATGTGTAATTTTACAAAATTAACCTCTCTCTTTTTCAACCACGGTTTACTGAGTTTTCTACATAGCTTGAATTTTTCACCAATGTCATCTCTCTTCGCCGCTGCACATTTGTTCAATTTGATAACAGTAACACAAATCTCATATATATCAAAAAATAACCATCACATTCGTTCAGTTCCATCAACAGTAACACCAATCTCATCATCTCTCTTCGCCACTGCCATAGCTTCTTTTTAGCTCTCTCTCCTCTCACCCTTCCACCATTCCCGTCCCTTTCCTTTTGTTCCCAGTAGTTGTAAGTGAGAGCTTCTGGAGTCGTAAATATGGGGCTTCGGCGCTTTGATGTGGAAAGTTTTGATCTTTGAATTTTTTAGCGATTTAGGATTTGGTTTCTGGCAAAGAGTGGTGATAAGATTTTCATTCAAAACTTTTCAAATTCAAAATTAAAATAAATTTTGTACATTGCAGATGATAGGGATCGAGTGAAGGAGCTTCATAAGGAGATAGAAACTAAGGCCAAACAGAAACAAAATCGACACATTGATGAAAAAGATGGTTACAGAGACAGAGATAGAAGATAGAGGCGCAAAGATAGGTCTAAATAAAAAACGCATTTTTGTCAACAAAATTCGAGAATACCATCCTTTGACACAATTTCTGTCGTTTCATCTTGGTGAGACTCATACTTATGTATTTTTTTTCCCACACTTTTTACTTCTTTATCTATTTCTTTTTTTCACTTCAAATTGAAAGTTCGAAATGGCCTTGAAGGCCGATGCATGCCAGAGGGAAAAACAAAATTTTTCTTTGCGGAATATACATGCACATCAAGATCAATGCTTTAGGAAAGCATGATTTTACTTTGTTCGTGAAATCACCAGATGATCAAGGCAGGTCTGAAGGGTTCAAACCCTCTAATGTTGATCCACACCACCCACTCGTCTAGGTGCAAGAACTCCTTCTTGTGAAGCCACCGGATGATCACCACAAAGAGACTTGCTAGGCGCTCTATGTGTGAAGATGGAGGCTAGATGAAAGTGTTTGAAAAGTGAAGCTCTCAACTTGAAAGCTTCACAAGTGGCGCAAGAGAAAGGAGAGAATAGGCTAGGCTTTTCAGAAAAACTCTTGGAGGAACAACTAATCACATAGGCGCATAAGAGGAGAGTATTTAAAATAAAATACCAATCAGATTTTTCTCCTAAAAATCTCATCATTAGGCGCCAGATTGGAGAGAGAAGTGGAGCTGTTTTATTTCAAAAATTGCTAACAGTCTCCTAGAATATTCTCTTGAGAATTGGTTCAAAACCTATTCAAAATTCTGATCAGAAATCTTCATAAGATCAGCTATATGGTGCGCCCCATATAGCCCAAAAAGGTGACCAGATACATCTAAGTAGTTGCATTCAAATTTGAATCAACTCACTCAGATTTTCTCCCAACTGACTAAATCTTCTTGAGCTGATTTTGATGAGCAAATCTTGCTCACCAACAACCCAAATCAGCGCCATATATGGCCTTGGATCTTGTCCAAAAGATTCTCTCATGATACTAGTGATTTGTTCCAACAAGATCTCATCTTATTCTTTTGTTATGAAACAACCTTTTATAGGCAATTCAAATTCAAATTCAAATATTTGAATTCAAACATTCAAATATTCAAATTCAAATGTTCAAACATTCAAACATTCAAATTCAAATTCAAAATTCAAAATTTCAAATTTCAAAATTCAAATTTAAAAATTCGAATTCAAAATCCAAATTTCAAAATTCAAAATTCAAATTTCAAATTCGAATTTCGAAATTCAAATTCAAAATTCAAAATTTCAAAATTCCAATTTCCAATTTCAAATTCCAAAATTCAAAATTTAAATGTTTGATAATCAATTTAACTAATTAAATTAATTAGTAATGTCTTGGACTATCCAAGTCCATTACAATTAACCACGCGCCCTCCACCCCTTTAGGTGGAGTTCCAAACAACTTCTTGGGCTAATAATTATTATTAGGCCCAATACCTTTAATGCTAGAGCATCTAGACAATTAGGTGTTTATGTGTGACCCATTAGGTCCAACTTAGCCACTGACATAAATGGGCTTGGGCCCAATAAGCCCACAACCCATCTAATGACAACACAGAGCACTAGCAATGCTTTGTTGCCCCAGAACTAGTTAGATTAATGATTTGATCATCCTATTAAACATATTTGGTTGCCGTATATATTTCCTTTCGTCTCGGTTACCTTCCCATAAAACCTAGGGTAAGGAAACGCATCAACCCTTGCGGTTTAGGGTTAGCTTTATATGAAATAAGGAGTCTTCAATTTACTGACTCTAAAGGCGGATCATCTTATGATCTCTTTTACTATGCATAGATTCCCGAGTCACTATAAATGTCATCCTGATTTCTCCGGTTTAAGGATAACCTAATCTCTCACAGAGATTTGACGAATTCCTTCAGCTTATCACCCTAGCCCTGTGCCCTATCAGGACAAGCCCAATAGCATACCTAGGAGTCTCCATGTTTCAGGCAGACGAGGTATACAGTCAAAGCATGCCTTCTAGAACACAGTCTAAGTGATAACTTTTGGTCTAAGGAAAGACATACCCAAATATAAAGAGACTACTCTAATGATACTATCTGTGAGATTTCCTCATAGAGTCTCTTTGTGGGTCCGTTCAGTGCGAGCTTTATCCACCCACGACTTTAGCTAAGACATCTCCAATATCTGTAGCACATGAGGTCTATACCTTGTATCCATATACAAGTAGATAAGTCGTGCTAGTCTTACCCGAGATTATTGACCCCATTCTCAGTATCTCTAGACTAGGAACATAAAATTAGGAATAAACATCTGGTATTCTTGAATCCTCATGATTTTGATCTCATCACAGATACTCAAGAGATACCTATTTTATTCCACGGGGTTTATCAAGTTATTCATAATATATTAACATTAATATCGAGACAGAATTATGAGACAAGATAAAGAGTGCTTTTATTTATTTGCAACAATATTAAAAAGGTCTACATCTCTGTCCTTATTTAATCATAAGATTGTCTCTAGGACACCCAAATACTAACACAAATAACACAAATAACACAAATTTACATCTTTTGAAATGATATACATTTTCTTCTTATATATAAAATGAAGGATTATATTTATTTTATATTGTAGAAAAAATAGTTATATCATGTTATAAAAATAAAATTATAAGTGGAAAGTAAGACCCACATGTAAGAGGAGAGAGAAAAAATAGATGTGAGACCCACGTCCACTTTGTGTGTGTAGAAAATTTATTTATCTTATGTAACATAAAATAAATATATAGAAAATATTTCTGTAATTACTGCAGATAAGTTATCTGCATTTGTTTCCAAAACGACGTCGTTTTGGGATTGAAATATTAAAAAATTATAATTATAAAGACTATAATAACTCTGAAATAAATTAAAATTACAAAAATACTATGATTTCTGCCCCAAAATTGGATTTACTGCAAATAACTTATCTGCAGTAATCACAGAAAAAACAAATCCATAAATATAACCCTAAAATGAAATCCTGAAAACATTATATTTTCGAGAATTTTTTTTTAATATATTACTAAACATGATCTTTTTGGAATTTTTATCATCACTTTTTCGAGCATCTAAAAATAGTCTTCTTACCAAATACCCTTTAAGATAATCGTATAATATAATTAAAGGAAAATGTTCTCTATTTAATATTTAATATGTTGACAGAATTAACATAAATAATCTTACCCAAAAAAAAAATTAACATAAATAAAAAATATTTGTCCTCACTGTATAAAAAAAAAGTATTATTCATAATCATTGTTAATCATTAATTAGTAATTTACAATGACAAATTTGATAATAAAATTCATAAAAATAAAATAAAATTATTTCAATTATCAATCATTGGTGTATAAATAAATTACTGTTGTAAAATTAATAAGAACTAGAGTAAAAATATAGATGCTTTATACATGCTTTATTTATAGGCTCATAAAACATGAAGTCATAATGTTTTCAACATTTATAACGTCTGTAACGATCATAACATCTTCAACAGTCATAACAGTTATATGGGATTGGACAACCAATAAATTGTTTATAACAATTACTAAATTTTTTAATTTTTACCAGAGATGAGAAATTCTTCCGCAATTATAAAAAAAGGACGTAATATAAGTTATTGTAAATTTGGGAGAATTATTATAGAGGTTATTTGTGATAAACCACGAAACCAAATTATGGACCGTTTCCCCGATAAGCGCCACTTCACTTCAAGTCATCGTTTCCCGCGCCAAATATTTCACATTTATGCACCTTCCCAAAACATCCGTTTAATCCCGTCACACCGCAAGCAACAACTAGGGTAATCCTAAAATCCCCCAAACCCAACATCTATAGGAGAGAGAGTCGTTCTCTCTCTTGACTCCGATCAAAACAACAACAACAACAACAGCCTCTACGAAGAAGAAGAAGAAAATGTTTTATTCACAGACATTTTTGGCACGAAAAGGGCCACTTTCCACCGTGTGGATTGCCGCACACCTCCAACACAGGCTCAAGAAGTCTCACTACACCTCCACCGATATTCTCTCCACTGTTGGTAAGTTCCTCTACTTTTCTTTTTCTTTTTCTTTTTTCCTATCGCTGTTACATCTTCAAGGTCCAAAGTTCATGTCTTTCTCAAAATTCCATCTGGGTTTTGGAAAATTGTTTGAAATTTTCTTCGAAATTTGTACTACTTTTTCTTCTTCTTTTGGTGAATCCAAGTTAGTACTTTTCTTTAAGGAACAATGTCACTCATTCTAATGGGTGTGGATTTTTCATTAATATATTATCTAAAAACCAATTTTGTGCGTGTTTGTTCAATTGTTCTTCCGGGGTGGTGGGGGCAAATGCACATGTTCTAGAATTCACGGGTTTGTGTTTATTTAAAGTGGTTTATGTGTTTTTGGTTGCACGCTAGTTTCTATGTACTAGGAATTTTCATTTTAGAAAAGGTACGAAGGTCCTGATCCACAATGTAGGTTTGCATTATTATTGTTATTACTATTAATTATTAATTCTTCTCATGGATGCCTCTCTTCTAGATCGTATCATGGATCCAGAGGTTCCCATAGCCCTGAGAATGTCAGGGCACCTTCTCTTAGGAGTTGTTCGGATATATTCGAAGAAAGTTGATTATCTTTATCATGACTGCAATGCGGCTGTGAGTGCTTTGTGCAAAGCATTTGGTTCTATGCCACTTAATGTACCAGAGGATCCAAGGAAGGCACCAGTTCAATCCATCACCTTCACGGGGACACTTAACTTTGATGAACTCAACTTGGATTATGAAATACATCATAATGGGTAATATTTCTTAAGGTCTTTCAATTATTTCTCTTATACTGAAATATATATACCTTATGTATGGATATATGGATGTATGTTTCAGAGTTGAGGATACTCACGTGAGGAATGAAGACGAGATCACCCTAGCAGGTTACATAAGTGGATGAGTTTTGTTTTAGTTATATATTTTTTCAATGTTTGAAGATGCATGGAATTTGAGGATTTTTTAATACTTTTCAATGTGCAGATCGAACTCATGATGGAATGGATCATTACTTGACAATAACAACTTTTGATGAGGTCTAGCCTTATTTCTTTCCTGCTGCATATACTATTTATTTTTTTGAATAATGTGGTTTTAGAGTTGCAAATTTTATTTATCTAACGAATTTTATTTTATTTCATTTCATTTATTTGTTTGTTTATTTTGTTTTTGTATTAAGGAGGACATAGTGATGAATTCTTCACACACAGATGTGCTGCCATATTCAGGGGCCAGATCCATGGAGGATGAGTAAGCTTCTGTTATTTTTTATCTACAGTTGCATTTTGGTGTTTTATTCCTTATGAACCAAAGGAATATTATGTTGTCCCGTAGGTATATCATTCAAGATGGTGGTCCAAGTATCCAGAGAGAATCACCTGTTACCCAGCATGTTGGTGGTGACCACTCTCATAACTTTCAGGATAACAGTCCTCCACTAGTTACCCAAGTCATGCCAATTGAAGTTCTTCGTCATCACAACAATGCTTGTAATACTGAAAATTCTCCACTAATTCCGGATTTTGGGGATAATAATACTGAACCAAACAAAGAACTTGATCAAACAATGAGTGGAAAGGATCATATTCCTGAGATAGTTGATGATTTGGATTTTAACGGGATGTCTGCCCCATCTCAGGCACAACACCATTTTGGATCACCAACTCCCCTTACTTCTCAAGGGGCTGCCTCAGAACCACAACTTTGTGTAGGTCAGTGCACATCTGTCTCTTGCATTTATATATGCATACTAGAATTACAGAACTTTACTTTTTCTTTCCTTCCTTTTTACTCTGTTTCAGGGCCTAATTCTCTCAATCTAGTGCTTCGTGCAAGTCCACCAATTCAGCAGCCGCAACGAAGAGGAAGGAAGAGAAAACCATTCTTTGATGAACCCATAGTTTTGTCAAACAGGTAAATTTTTATTTATTGAATTGCTTCATTCTCTTGCAACTTATATTCTTATTTGCTTACTTATAAATTTCTGTTCTGTCTATGCATGTTACTCATATGGGATGTGTCTTTATAGCTTCATAAGGAAGACGCTTAGTGATACTCGTGATATACTGCGGAAGAGAAAGGAGGTTCCTTCCTCTACTTTGGATACTTTTAAATTGAACAACAGTCGAAGAAAGGAACACATTTTTGACCAGCCCTTATTAACTGGTAAGCTAGTCTTTATCTTTTATCTTTAGTACCTTACAGTTTTATGAACTTGTCATCGAGAACTTGTGGCTCCATGTTTAGGGCTTTGCAAGGATCTATTAGATATATCCAGAAGGGAATATATATGTTCAAGACCCAATTTGGTCATCAATGAGGAAGATAATATGGATGCTGGGATTGCTGGAATTCCTCCATCAACCAACCAAATTCCCAAAGAGACAAGAGCTGCTACACCTCCTCCTGTTAATGCATCTGATTTGGAAATTGAACACCTTCGTAATAGTATTCTTGCTCCCCATCCCACTATCCCAGCTTGCAATGTGGACATGGAATTCAATATTGAAGATGATCGTAGGAGTCCTGTTAGAAATGATGAATTGACTCCTGTTTCAGCTAAAATCTTAAGATCTGTGTCACTTTCTTCTTTGGGAACAAATATTGCATCTGAGATAATGCAGACATCTGATTTACCAGCATCAACCGGTATTCGTGGATTGGAGATGGAAACACCAATGACAAATTTGGATGATACCTTTCAAAACTTTGGTCTTTCAGATACTCATCAGTTAATCAATTCTGCTGAAACAGAAGTAAGCTTTTAGGTTTCATCATGAATGCTTTCATACAGTCTCATTTGATCAATCATATTCCATTCCCTTTCGGTACTAAGTATTTATTATTCTATTTAACTTTTTAGTATGAGGAATTTATGAGGAGGATATATTTAAATTTGTAACTTGTGGCTTCCTTAAGATAGATATTGATGTATATATGACATGTTAAGTCTATCCAATAGTTATTTACAAAAAAAAAAAAAGTCTATCCAATAGTAAAGTGCTGTAGTCATCCGTTTTTTGAGGATTTAATGCACATTTTAATGAAAATGTTTGTGTGATATGTTCAAACTAGTAGCGTGTGCATCACTGTCTGTCTATCTTGTACACAATTTTGATTTTATGGTTTTGCTTTTGGTGTTTATAATCACACAATTTTATATGTATGTGCCTCTCCTCTTCCTAGTTTTTTTCTCTTCAGGAGCTGAAACTTGCTTTTAGTAATCTTACCTTCTGAATTAATGGTCTTGAAATTGTTGAATTGAAGCATTTCATCTAATAACTTGTCAAACTTGTTTTTCGTAGGAGCTTGGTTTTCTGGAAATGGAGAACAATACGTCTGCCAGTATGTTCTATTTTCATGTCATGTTCAATTTGATTTTTCTGGAACATGCCATTATTTTACATATTTATTGTGATGTTACTTGTATTGTATAATTCCTGATATGATTTTAGATGAATGGTCAGTTTCTGTATTGGCATCAGTATTACTGTTGTAGATAACATAAATATTTTAATGGCAGGTTCACAAGGTACAAGTAAAAGTATCAACGAATTGTCTGTGAGGACTAGGTACCTATTCATTTCTCTATGCCATTATAGAATATATTTGTTCTTATTCCAGTCATTCATCATATCATGTATATCAAACCACTTTAGTGAATGCCCGTGAAAAGTTTTTTCCCAGATCGAGGACTGACATAACTTTTGAGACTCTTGACATCAAATTTTTCTGAAGCATCTTAGATTGATAAATTGAGAGCAAAATACTCTCTGCTGTTATCCCTTGTTCTGAAGAACATTTATTATGCATCTTAACTGTTTTTGATTACAAACTCCTCACAAAATCTAACTATTTTCCAATGAGTTGCATGAGAGCCTATGAGGGGTTGATTTGTAGGATAAAGATTGTGCAAGTATCATAATTGTAAAATTTTCTATAGATGCATGCTATTGTGATAGCTTATTTTTTGAATTACAAATTTACAGCCTTTATGTGTTTTCCTTCTTCTTTTTTATGAACAAGTTATTTCTGGGTGTTTTAATAGTTAATTTTAAACATAACCCAGGAACTTGCACAGTGCCAAATTTCCAAGTATATTACTTCATAGGATCTGTGACCTTACTTTTCTCCCTCTTCCTTGTGCCTGAATATGTTACTCATCTGATACATCATAAAGACACATGCATTAGCATTAGAGTGAAAATTAAAACATCAGATGACAAACAAGACTTTGTATGAAAATATAGTATGATAATTATTTTAAGTAGATGTATATATTAGTGGAATGATAAGGTGAGGAAATCCTAAAAGAAAATTTAACAAGTAAAACCATACTTTAATTAATGCATTCTTTTGTTGAACATGTGTTAATTTGTACCGTTTTTAAGTTCTTCACTATTCTTCTCTAGTATTTGAACATTTCTAATATTCTTTACTTATATAATTCCAGGGCTGCAGCTCAATATTTGAAAAGACATTCTCCTATTACCCCAATTTTGGAGGATCCTGTTGGAGATCTTAGCTTGAATAAAATCTTGGAAGGAAAAACTAGAAAGCACTCTGCTCGTATGTTCTTTGAAGTATTGGTGAGTTCTAAAACAACTCCATCCATAGAAGGGAACCTCAACTATGTCCAAAGAATTAGAGTATTGGTTGTTTGTGGGCGTATGATTTTAATCTGGTTAGAATGTGAATACAGGAAAGTAAACTGAAGAGTATTTTTATTTTTTCTCAAGTGTGAATGGTTCTGTTTCTTGTCATCAACATAATTATAGCTTTGAATCCTGCTCTGACGGATATAGTTCTGCAAATATTTGCTAAAAAAAATGTGTAGTTAATTTGATCTTAATTAAGGGATATATATTTGTATATCATCCTTCAATTCAAGTCCTACAGATTATGCTTTCTTCAAATGCAAGCATCCTTGTGAACAATAATGGTGCTCCCCCCCCCCCCCCTCTTTTTTTGCTTTATTGTTGTTAGAATATATTAGATGTGATTAGATATGAGTAGATGTGATTAGATGTGATTAGATATGATTAGATTACTTCCTATCCGTAAATATTCTGATTGTATTAGGTCTGGGCCTTTCACTTAAGCCCATTAGGGTCTCTATATATTGTAACTCTCTGAATTAGATCAATACACAACATATTATTTTATGTTCAAGTTGGTATCAGAGCTCTTTGTTCTGGGAATTTTCGCTTCCGCTAAAACCCTAAGCTCACTACTTAGGCGTTCTCTCCTTCCTCTAACGCCGTGCGTCCCTCCGCCTTAGTTCTACACTGTTCACACGGTTTTAAAAAAATAAAATAAAATTACTGTTCATCTCGTTCGTACAGTCCGTACGGTTTACTGTTCACCGTCAGTACAGTTCACTGCTCATCGTTCGTACAGGATGCACCATTCACCGTCCGTACGATTTCACTGTTCACCGTGTCCGTACCGTTACTGTTCGCCCTCCATACAAAACATTGTTCATCACGTCCGTACAGGTACTGTTCACGAAAAAAAAAAAAAATCCTGTTTCAGATTTGGTCATCTCCTATATAATATTATGGCAGCAAATGATTCTGATCATTCGGAGGTCAATTCTCAACCTCCTCCTGTCAAAAATTCTCCCAATATCATCTCTACCAATGTTGGGTCCATTACCTCTTCAAAATTGAAGGGTTTTGTTAATTACAAGAATTGGGCCACCTCTCTTGCTGCGAATATAGCTCAGCAGTCAGACAATGCATCATTTGGTTCAGTTTCTCTCTCACTTGCGTACTATGCTGCACTCCAAACTCTTCTCAAGAAGGCTTCTCCTTAGTCTCAGCCCTCCGCTCCATATACTGGTAATCCCGTTGCTTGTGTTTCTCAATTTACATCACTTGGCACTTGGATATTTGACTCAGGTGCTACCGATCATCTCTGTGGTAATAAGGAACTCTTTACATCTCTTACTTATTCTGATCATTTACCTTCATTTACCCTTGCTGATGGAACCAAAGCTCCAGTTCGTGGGATTGGACAAGCTCGTCCGACCTCTACCTTGGCCTTGACATCTGTTTATTACATTCCTGGCATCCCTTATAACTTAATTTCTATTAGTAAATTGATCCACTCCCTCACTTGCACCATTACTTTTTCTAACCATTCTGTTTCTGTGCAGGATCCGGGTACGGGGAAGATGATTGGAGTGGGTCATGAGTCACGGGGGCTTTACTATCTAGAGGTGCCTCGTCCTTCAGTGGCATGCTCTCTCACAGAATCTCCACAACTTATCCACAGTCGCCTCGGTCATCCAAGTCTTTCAAAGTTGCAGAAGATGGTTCCTCTTTTATCCGGTCTTCAGTCTTTAGATTGTGTCATGTCAACAAGGGAAGCATACACGCTCCTCTTTTGCCAGTCGAGTCAATAAACGAGCTGATGCCCCTTTCTCTCTTGTTCATTCAGATATCTGGGGTCCAAGTCGTACCTTGTCTGTTTTAGGTTTTCGGTATTTCGTTACCTTTATTGATGATTTCTCCCGTTGCACTTGGATTTATTTAATGAAAAGCCGTTCTGAGTTTTCTATTTATCAAAAATCTTCTGCTGAAATTCATACTCAATTTGGTGCCTCTATTCATATTTTACGTAGTGATAATGCTAAGGAATATGTTTCTGTGGACTTTTCTAATTTCTTAGCCAAACATGGTACTTTACACTAAACTACTTGTCCTCACACTCCACAACAAAATGGAGTAGCTGAACGTAAGAATAGACATCTTATTGAGACTGCACAGACTCTTCTTATTCACATGCATGTTCCTCTTCACTTTTGGGCCGATGCAGTCCTTGCCTCTTGTTTTCTCATCAACCGTATGCCTTCATCTGTGCTTAATAATGACATTCCTTATAACTTATTGCTTCCAGATGTTCCTCTCTATCCTCTATCCCCACATGCCTTTGGTTGTACCTGTTTTGTTCATGATCTCACCCCTGGTAAGGACAAGTTAACATCTAAAGCCTTTAAATGTCTTTTTCTTGGTTATTCTCGTCTTCAAAAGGGTTATCATTGTTATTCTCCCGATCTTAAGCGTTACTTAGTTTCCGCTGATGTCACTTTTCTTGATCAACAACCCTTTAATTCTATCCCATCTCCGTTGTCACAGGTTGATCATGTTCTTCCTGTCCCTTTTCTTGACTTGTCTTTGCCAGCTGCAGGTGCTTCTATTCCAGATGAGCAACCTATTGCTTCTATACCTGCGGACCGTCCACTTCTCACCTATCAGCGTCGTAAAATTGTGCCTCATGTCGACTTGACTCTTGCTGACTCATCGCCCACTGCTATTGATTCTTCCTCTCCGGATCCTTCACCAGAGGCTCTTCCCATTGCTCAAAGAAAAGATACACGTACTACTCGTAATCCTTATCCTCTTTATACCTTTTTGAGCTATGACCGTCTTTCTTCACCTCATTTCACCTTTGTTTCTAGTCTTTCTTCTGTTTCTATTCCTAAGACAACAGGTGAAGCACTTTCCCATCCAGGGTGGCGCCAAGCGATGCTTGATGAGATGACTGCACTTCATTCCAATGGCACTTGGGACCTTGTTTCTGCTCCTCCAGAGAAGTCTATAGTTGGTTGTCGTTGGGTGTTTACTGTGAAAGTTGGACCTGATGGCCATGTCGATATACTCAAAGCACGCCTGCAAAGGATTTTACTCAAATCTTCGGCCTTGATTATAGCGATACATTCTCTCCGGTCGCTAAAATGGCGTCAGTTCGCCTATTTCTTGCTCTTGCTGCTGTTCGTCATTGGCCACTCGTTCAACTTGACATCAAAAATGCATTTCTTCATGGTGATTTACAAGAAGTCTACATGGAGCAACCACCTGGTTTTGTTGCTTAGGGGGAGTCTGGGAAGGTGTGTCGTCTTCGAAAATCCTTATATGGTCTCAAGCAGTCTCCTCGAGCATGGTTCAGTCGCTTCAGTTCTGCTGTTCAGGCGTTTGGCTTAATTCGCAGTAAAGCTGACCATTCTGTATTTTATAGGATTACATCTCCTGACAAGTGCATCTATTTGTTAGTCTATGTTGACGACATCATTCTCACCGGAAGTGATCAAGACGGAATTCGTCAGTTAAAACAGCATTTATTCAGTGTATTTCAAACAAAGGACCTTGGGAAGCTGCGTTACTTCTTGGGAATTGAGGTGGCGCAATTTAGACAGGGCATTTCTATTTGTCAAAGGAAGTATGCCTTGGATATCTTAGAAGAAACTGGTATGTTGGGGAGTAAACCAGTTGATACACCCATGGATCCTAATGTCAAGTTATTGCCCGAACAGGGGGAGCCGTTGTCTGATCCTGGACGTTATCGGAGGCTAATTGGGAAGCTCAATTATCTTACTGTGACTAGGTCAGATATTTCTTTTGCTGTTAGTACGGCTAGTCAGTTCCTTGATTCCCCTTGTGATTCATATTGGGATGCTGCTGTGAGGATCCTCCGATACATCAAAGGAGCACTAGGAAAAGGTTTGTTGTATTCGAATCAGGGAAATACAGAAATTTGTGGTTATTCAAATGCTGATTGGGCAGGATCACCCTCGGACAGGCGCTCTACTTCCGGTTATTGTGTCTTCTTTGGAGGAAACTTAATTTCGTGGAAGAGCAAGAAACAACCTGTTGTTGCTCAATCTAGTGCAGAAGCTGAGTATCGTGCAATGGCAAATACTACCTGTGAGTTAATCTGGTTAAAGCAGTTGATTTAGGAGCTTCATCTTTGTGAACAGAAACAACCCATGACACTCATCTGTGATAATCAAGCTGCGCTACATATATCTTCTAATCCTGTATTTCATGAGAGGACCAAACATATAGAGATTGATTGTCACTTCATTCGAGAAAAGATTCAGTCAGGAGAAATCAAGACAGCGTTCGTCAACTCTTCTGATCAACTAGCGGATGTCTTCACTAAAGCTCTTAGAGGTCCTCAGGTTGAATACATTTGTAACAAGCTTGGTGCTCACAATATATACGCACCAGCTTGAGGGGGAGTGTTAGAATATATTAGATGTGATTAGATATGATTAGATATGATTAGATTATTTCCTATCCGTAAATATTCTGATTGTATTAGGTCTGGGCCTTTCACTTAAGCCCATTAGGGTCTCTATATATTGTAACTCTCTGAATTAGATCAATACACAACATATTATTTTATATTCAAGTATTGTGACATGCAAATTTCTGTTTTATTATTGATGTGGAAGTTAAATGGTGCATTACAGGCTTTAAAGACTCATGGACTTGTTGATGTACAACAAGAAGAACCTTATGGTGATGTCAGCTTGAAGTTGACTCCTACGCTTTCAAATGCTCAATTTTGATATTTTAAATTAAATTATTTGCAGTCCTTTGCGGCCGTGATGTATATAGGTAAGAAAATTATGTTTTTTTAACAAGACTTTTATGACTTTTGAAGGCTGATCATAGAACTAGTGTTGGTACTCATGATACAAATGTAACAAGAAATGGTACAAATGAAAAAGAATATATTTTATTTTATAGGATATTACATTTTATCCCTATGAAGTCTTCCTACAAAACAACTTCACTGCTTCGAGTTTAAAATCTTACAATTTACCCTCCTCAAGTTACAAGAACAGTAATTTTGGTGAATCAAAAGGGGAAAAAAGGTTGGAAAAATATTTTACTAGAACCCTGTGAAAATTAAGAAATGTTGGAATTGGTAGTTTATTGGTAGGTAATGGGTTATGCATGTAATTATTTTCTTTGCTGAAAATTCACCAACAAAGAACATAGTCTTTTCCAGTGCTCTGCTTTATATTGTTTACCACCCGTGTTTTGTACTTTTCAATAAAATTTATGTATAGAACCCAGCCTCTCCTATTAGCATGTTTTAGAAAACCTATCTGATATCTCAATGCATCTTGTTAAATTATATGCTAGTTTGTGAATAATGTGAATCATTGATGCATGTGAACTCAGAGTGTTATGAGGGAAGAGAAACCAGATAGCAGAGTGTGTGTGAGAGAGAGAACCGAGAGAAAGAGTGAAGAGAATCTGAGAAATGTTATTGAATTACTGAATGTGTTGATACAAATGAATATATATATAGACTAGAGAACATGAGAGCATCTAAACTAGATCTGAACTGACTCGAACTGAGTTTGTTAGAGTTTGTTATAACTCCTCTGACAGCTGTCATAACTGTTACAACAGTTGAACTCTGTTTGCTACTAGACAAAGTTTATCCCTGTTTTGGAATAAGCTGAAACGGCAAGAGCTTGTGATTACAGCCAATTAAGATTTATGTTATAATTATCAGAGTTTATCAGTTATATTAAAGCTACTTTGCTTGAGGATACCCTAACAGTACAACCCATAAAGTTAAATGTTTCTTTCATCTATTTGAAATGTTCTTGTGTGCTGATCTACTTGTTAAAAAATAAAAACTAGTTACCTCTAATTAAAACTTTTCTTTATTGACTTGCAGTTGGGTTTCATGCTAAGAACGGAAATGCAGTTGGGGTGTATAGCAGGCACAAGGCAAATTATAACCAGCATGAAGAGAAATAGTTTTTTTTTTTTTTTGGATGTATATTAGCATCCTGCTTAATTTATATAAACTATAATGATTGACTTCTTTTTTTGTTCAATTTATATTTAGTTGACAGAAAAAGGTATAAAATTTGGGTTTTAATTTTCCAATTATAGTTTGGTCTGATTTTATGTCAACTAATCAGCATGCACAACATAAAATAATTTCTTTATGACTTTCCTATAATGAGGATTTGTTTATACATGCCTCTGAATATAATTTATGTTAAATATATGGATAAAAGTAATGTAGTAGAACAAATACTACTATATAGTAATCAAACATGGGTATATTATCCCCCTCTTAGGGTTGTACAAAATACATAAATTGGGAGATAAAGATGATGCTCAATTAGACAAGTGGGTCTGTGATCGGGTTTTACTTTGGTTCTGAAGGATCTGCATGCAATTCCAAACCATAAAAGCATTTTTGTTAATGTGACTAAACTCATCATGTTGATGACAATAAAAGCATCTTCAATAATCAATGGGATAAGATATTGTTTTGCAAGCAAAAGTCTCCCTCAACCCATTCAACTGGTCTATTCTATTTTCATTTATCTGGATCAGTTACTACTTATAAGGGTGCTAGATGCTTTGAATCCAATGTTAATTTTTAAAAGAAAATTTATCATCTTTACAAAAACTTCCAACTGGGAACATCTTGCAGATGGATAGGCTTACTAGCTTTGAAAATGAAACGGGTCCTTCTCCAATGATATATTATACAGATCCATATACAATTGATTTTAAACCTAAAGATAGCCTCACAGCTGCAAGTTGAACGTTTTGTTCTCTGGCTACCAATCCGGCAATCCATGATGGTGGAGGAAGCTGCTGCAGAGAGAGTGGTTGGACAGCACATTTATGATGCTCAAAACAATTTTTTATTTATTTTTTAAAGAAATAACACAATAAAAAAATATGTAAGAACTTTGTTCTACATCCCTTGTCACCATTAGTACTCAACATTTATCATATGCTTCACCAGCAAAGCTATAAACCCAGAATGAGAGGGATGAATTGCTCCAAAGAGTACCCCATCATTTTAGTTTAGGTTAAGCTTTAGATAATGTGGTATATTTCTAAAGAACAGAATCAAACTTCGATGTTGCTTTCAAATTTAAAAATGACAATTTCAGTTCACTTTTGGACTTAAAGTATATGCAGATTCAGACACATTGAACATGCTTTCAGATTCAAAAAATGATAATTTCGGAGGATTAGAGGACTTTCTACTACAATTTGGTTGCAAAACTTCTTTTACATCATCTTCAATATCAATAGCCACCGTGACATAAATTTCAATAGTTGCTGTAATTGTAGTTAATTCCTTCAATACCTGGCATAATTTAGTTTTCAAATTAAAACCATCCTGTATATTTAAACATAAGAGAGAAGTTAGCTTGTATCAATAAAATGGAATGAGAACATCATAGATTGAAAACTGACTTTGTAAGTCAAAAATGATTTTGGTTAAACTCAGCGCTTAATGATTGTAAAAAGCATCACCCAGTGGCTCCTTTATTATACAACTATTACAAAGTTTATTTAAATAAATAAAAAAGTTAATTTGTTTCATTAAAAAAAATAATTCAGAAGTATCAAGATATTTTACCTTTAAAAGTCTATGATAATTTTCACGATAACTTGAAATGCCATGTATGTCACAAGAAACATTGTTTTTCTAAGCAAAAATAACAAATCAAAGAATAGAGAAGAAATTAAAACACAAAATACTGAATAAAGTAATGTTGCTTACTTGAATTGTGTGTGTTTTGTGAAGCTTTGACTTTTTGAAACTGTTCTGTCCTTGAGACAGAGATGTCCAGCCCAATAAATTGGTATGTTTTTCATGGATCTGGTTCCCTCTCCAAGGTATTTATGAGGGAGATACCCTTGAGTCAAGCAGATCACTGTGCACAGAATACTATAACGGCGTTAGCCAATGAGGTGTGTGTGTGCGCACAGTGACAACATAACAGTAAGAGAGAGCGTAACGTATCTTTAGGGTTTACCTTGTATTTATAGAGGTTACCTGTGGGTGGTGTGGATGGGCCTTTGGTGCCTCTGTAAGGGCTCAGGCCTGCTTGCTATGCTGTCATATTAGGATTAGTATCCTTGATGGATATCTATCTGTGATTACGGTTGATTCAGATCTTGGGTTGCCCCTTATTGGGCATATCACTTAATGGGCCCCTTATATGGGTCCATAACAGTTTCCCCTCAGCCCGGCTACCTGGGCATCCGGGTAGTCGGGGCGAACTTATGTGTGCATCTTTTCAGGTTTTTTCCCCTGAATGTGTTTGCATTCTTGCAAATTTTTGAACTTTTGCAAGTTCCTCATATTCTGGAGTTTTTTCCATGCAGGGTGTCTCTTGCCCCCTATGTCGACGGGCTGAGCATGAACCCGGTGAGATGTTCCTTGTATCCTCTTCTTCTGGGGTAAGGGTATGTTTGGGCCGTTGGGGTCCAACTGGCGAGTTGCCCCCCAAACGTCGGCCTCTATGCCTATTCCGAGCTTGTGGCTTACATCAAGGACGAGTTCTCCTTGTCCTTTATTTCGGCAGGTTGAGCATTAACCATTTCTATATTTCTTTGCCGAGTTAAGGGTGTGCTTAAGTTATTGGGATCCAACTGACGTGTTGCCCTCAAGCATCACACCTTAACTGCAGTGTTTGATTTATGCCTTTGATTACGTGGACGACGGGTTTTGCATGACCCCGTTGAGATAGTTTATACACGCAACCGGGTAACGGATGTGCTTGAGCAGTTGTGATCCAACTGGTGAGTTGCCCCCAAGCATCAGGCGTATAACCCGGCCGTACATGTACGTGTCCTATCTTATCTGTTTGTTTATGAGTGGTACTCATTTTGTTCTGCCACGTGCCACAGCCCGCGTGTTTTAGCGTGCCGCGGCCGTTCTATGCCATTTTCGCGTTTCGTGCGCATTTATTGCTGTATCGTTTCAGTTGTCTAATCATTTCTTTTTGGGAGAAATGGCTCAAATGACCCTAACCTTTGCTATTTCTGAGTGTTGTGGTAGTGTGGTTACCGCCCATGATGACTGCGGTTACCTCCCATGATTGGTGCAGTTATTATGTAGAAGTGCAAAGACCTGAGTAGCCTTGACCTTTGCCATTTGCAATCCTAATGGTCAGTAGTCATGCCTATATAAGCCTCTGTCGCACATTACGTGCTTTTGTTTACCTTCTGAGCATTGTGCGTCAACCTCATTTCTTTGAGTCTCAGCATCTCAAACTCATTTCTTCATCTTCTTAGCACCCCATCGTTTTCAACAGGTATTTCAATCATCTTCCATTTTGGTTGCTTGTGTATTGAAATGCCTGCATTTTGGTATTGGTCGCGAGCATGCTTTTTCCATTTTGAGTTGTTTGCCCTGTGTATTTTACTTTGCTGATTTTCTGGTATTTTCTCTTTACATTCATAGTTTTCGCTTTCCAGAGCTTGTGTGTTCCTTCCTGTCATTCTGGTGTTTATCACCTTGTCGTCCTCGTCTCCCCCTGTGCTATTTGAAATCTTAGCATTTTTTAGTGTTTTAACCAAATGAGGGGGAAAAACCCTCCTTCTTCAGCTTTGTGTTGTAAAGGGAAAAAGGGGGAGGATTCTGATTTTTTCAAAAAGATTCTTCCTGGTGCTCGCTTCTGGCTTTGGGGGATTCCCAGGACCGAAGAAGAAAATGGGAAGCTATGCTTCGAGGTTACCGTGGTGGTAGATCTCGAAAAAGGTCTGGGATGTCCAATGG